AAGTAACTAGTAATATGTCTCTATTGACTTATAGTAACCACAGGAAGGTAAATTCAGAAACTGAAGTTTTGCAACGCTTTCTGCTTGCTTGTTCTTTTTTGTGCTAAGCCATATGTAATGGGTCTGCTGAATGCACTCAAGGGGAAAGAATGTTAAATGGATCTTTATTTGCCAATGTTTCTGATAGTTTTCTTGCTGATATAAATTAGATTTGGTGCTTGGAACACAGCAAGTCAAAGTGATCTGTCCAAATCTCACTTATTAGGATAGGAAAAAAAGATAAATAACTGTAAGGTAGCAATATTCTGTCCTTTAGGAATAGTTTTGCCACTATTAAACCCTGTGATTGAAAATGCTAGTTACCTGGCTGTCAGTTTGTTCCTTGGCATTATGCTTAGTCATTGCTCTGCTGCAAGTATACATATCAGGAATAAAGGCTTCCTGCTGACTTCACTAAAAGTGGGAATACACGATTAGAAAATCGACCGATCGGTCATCCGACGACCGAGAGGCGTTCGTTCATTGGTCAAAATCGTGGCCCACATTAACCAATCTGAACAAATTGTTCGTTGGGCAATACATAGTGTTAACATCTTCCGTACAAGTGGAAGCGATGCAGTGTGCGTGTGACCTTGTAGCCACACCCTTCCAGCCAGAACGAGCAATATACACAACAATTAACAGCAATGAGTATAATATAGTTTAATACATTATCTATATACATAAATAGTGATACATAAAAATATAATATGCAGAATTCTGGTTTCATCATCTCATTAGGCCAATCTACTTTGAATATTTGGATTTTTCGTTCGTGTTTACAAAGATTTCTTGGACATCCGAGTCATCTTCTGTTTCCGCTCATGCGTGATAGCGCTTGATAGATTTTTTTTGTACGACCTTCATACCACCACATAGCAAATCGGTCGTTCGTATGTGAAACGACAAATTTTTCACTGTTGTTCAATCGGATTTTTTTCATTCACAATATCGTTATCATTTAAAACATCCTGCTCATCAACGAAGAGAAAATCATTCGATCAGTGGTTCCGCAAAATTTTTCATATGATTTTCTTATCGTGTATACGGGGCATAAAGCTGGCCATATATTATAACATTTTCTTGAGATTTTTGGTTTAGATTTACCAAAAACCATATAATAGGAGGTCAAATCTAACAACATTTTCAATTATATCCAATTAGTCAGGCTCTTGCACTACATAGTTGAAGGTAAATCTGAAGGAGATTGGGCAGAATTTGGGCAGATAATTGTATAGTGTATGGCCAGCCTTACTCTATGTATATTCTAGTTTGTGAAGGGTTCAGGGTGTAGAATCAACTTTAAATACTGTGTTTTGTTCCTTTCTCAACAAAGATTACACTCTTGTGTCTTGTATTGTTATTTTTTGGCATGCAGTGCTCTATTTGGAATCAATAGTCACCGTGGTCTTTGCCACTGGTTTTGCTTGACAGGGAAATTAACAGATGAAGTAATCAATTAAGAAATTAGTTTTTATCAGCGAAGCCACGTGGAAATTTGTCCTAGCAAAGTATTATACATTTTTAAGGAAATTAATACTAAATCAGATGCTAAATAGATTCAAATTAACATTATTCATTTTTCATGTAAAACAATGAGGTAAAAAGAAATACTTTATCAGGTTACAATAGGTGTAAGAGTGAAATAGCAAAATAGACACAGACCAAGGGGCTCTATGTAAAATGTAGCAAAGCAATTAACACTTACCTATCTAGCTGTCACGTCACTGAACTTTTCTATATTTAAAGTAGTTGTGAATATACGTACAATTTCTCATTTTTCACTATAATCAATTTACACTTACATAACACACCTACATGATTTTTTGCGCATTTATGCACATCAAGCATTTTTTCTGTCCGAAAGCTCCTCTCAAAAACATGCTTGTGATGTTTTGATGTTCTTTTTTTTCAGTCTCTAAAAACACTCCTCTTCAAAAATGCCTGTAAACGCCTAAATGTGCATGAGCATGAGTTGCTTCTACAGGCTGAAAGAAAAAAACGCCAAACACCTGTATAAGCCCAGTGTGCATGAGACCTAAGAGTTACACAGCACAGCAAAACAAGGTACCAAAAGACAGGTTGCACTGAAATAATAAAGTGTATATATTAACCTAAGGCACTTAAGTTTTAACGTGATATCGTAATTTCAAAAGTAATTTTGAATATTTTTTTAAATCTGCAGCTTTCATTAAAATTATTTTGGTGATCTAGCCATTAAGGAAAGAGTTATTTACTGTTAGAGCAGTAAAAATGTGTTATGGGGTTACATAGTGCTGGATTAAACTCTGTGGAAGCCCCTAAGTAGTTGAAACCTTGGGCCCCCCCCTTGAAAATAATTTCCTAATACTTTTTTAATTTAACCAAACAACAATTATAATGAGCCAATTTTATTACATGAAACAAACATTAACAATTATTAATGTTATTAAACATATTATGTTATCAAACAATAATTATTAAATATTAATAAACAATATTACACTATATTTTTAAACAAAGATGAAACAAGATGAGCTCTCAAGAAATAAACTGTAATGTAAACCTGATGTCTATGGTTTGTCTACTACACATTGTTATTGGGTACACTACATTAAGTCCCCGGTCACACGGGAATGCAAATTGGCATGCAATTTGCAAATCGCATGCCAAGTCCCATCCTATTGTCCACAATTACAAAGATCATATCAGTGCGGTTCTGACTTGGGTGTCCGTTTATGACACACAGAATAGCTGAGATTCAGAGGATCACAGCTATTCTCTGGTCATTCACAGTTTATGACACCCAGGAGAATATGTTCAGCCCTTCTCTGGAGATCTGTGTTCTCCCTCCAGATTCTCCAGCCCAGAGCTGCAGAATCGGAGGGACCGAAAACTAAGCAGAGATAATTTACCTCTGTTTAGTAAACTGATCTTTTACTGGAATCTCGCGAGATTATAGTAAAATCAACCGTTTTCCAGCATTTGTAGACCGTTCTCCCTTCGTTTGGAGAACTGATCTACATATGCTTCATAAACGGCATTCACAGGAGAACTGTGTTTCCTGAGAATGCCGGAGAACTGAGCAGCGATCTATTACTGCTGGTTCATAAACGGACACCTTGATCGGAGCCACACCGATTTCTAAAGTAATACATGCACTACTTTTGGTGCAATTTGCATAGATATGTGTCTCAGATGTCTTGCAAATCGCACCTGAAATCGGCATGTCATCCGATTTTGAAAACGTGCGACTTCGCTTTAAGTAGCAAAATTTCAAAGTCAGGTTTGGTGTGATTGGAGTGCAATACAGTATTTTCTCTATAGTCTTTAATGTAAAGTTTTTCTTTCTTTGAGTTGATTCATTTTTTCTATTTTTTTGTAAACAATTTGAGAAAGCTTCATTGTAATTTTCTTTCAAGATCAAATCGATATTATTGTGATCCGTTGTCACAGGGCCCTTAAATAGCCAATAGGCCAGTGCCTACTCTACCTATTTGGCAATCCGACAAAAGGTTTTGCAGCTCTCCTGACCGCTGTCTCCTGATTGCTTTCCTTAGTTGTTACCCTGTTACAGAGGTTTTTGATACGGCGTGTTTAATCAACCTATATTATGCAAACACAATCTTATGTTGTCACCATCAGGAAATGCAAAAAACACACTTACAATCAGCCAGGTCTGGACTGTAGACAGGAAGTGGCTGCAAAAATGTTGCAGGAGATCAGCAGCATTGAGACGCAACATAGCATGAAAAAAAGTGAAAACAAGTATTTGATTAACAAAATTGCATTTATTTATGATTTGCATTGCTTTAGCAAACTAAATGTCAGTCAGTTACGAGTTACAGCTATTTCATTTTATCAGCTTTTTGGGCCACAAATAACGATTAAACCAGTTATACGCATATATACTGTATATTATGCTACGTAGACTTGTTTTCTATTACACTGCTTAAAATGTGAATGAAGTGAATGATCAGGAAGGAGTGAAAGGAATGTGATGTAATGAAAGTGCTTTTTGAATATCTAATAAGGTCTCTGAGATCTGGTGAGTTCATCAGAGCACAGGTGTGGAACACAGCACAGAGTGTTCTTTTGATCATAGAGGTGGAAGATAATAAAAAAGTAACTTTTGTTGCAATTTAAGTACTGTTTTATTCTACAGGTACTAAGTAACAGCACATTGGTTGCACAGGATACAGAGTATCTGAACAAAGACAAAGAGTTTTTTTCTGGACACAAGGTCACAAGTAGAGATGAGCTCATGCATGCTCAGGCACAAGTCTAAACCAGGGGCGGACTGACCATTTGGAAACTCGGGCACTGCCCGAGGGCCCGGGGTTAGTAGGGGGCCCCATGAGATGACCCTGGTAACTATTTCATAGGCTTTTTTGAGTTTGGGCATGGACACAGGGGCCCCATGATCCCCTATTGCCCGGGGGCCCCATGAGTTGTCAGTCCGCCCCTGGTCTAACTACCTGAGCTGTCCATAAAAATAGAATGTTCAGAAATACTCAAACAAATTCTGTTCTGTAAAGTGCGCAAATCTCCCTTAATATCAACTAGATAAACATAAGTGTATTTGTAAATGTCATGAGTCTGAAACTGCTTGAGCTAGCCCACCAGGAAGCTGTCACTGCATACAGCCAATCATAAGTGGCCGAGGCATTCCCCGCCGCACAGCGCATGTATATATAAAGAGCAGGCAGGGGAATGTCTCTGCCCCTAATGATTGGCTGTCTGCAGTGACAGCTTCCTTTTAGTAGTACAACCTGTCCTTTGGACCTTTTTATACTTTGTTGTACAATGTGCTCTCCCAAGGCAGGTCAGGCAGTGATAACTGTCATTTTTGATGATTTCTGGTATATATTTGCATTAAAGTGGAGCTCTACCCAAAAGGGTAAGTTCCGCTTTTAGCCTTTGTCCCCCGCTCCCCATTAAGGATTGGCATCTTGGGGGAGCGGGTACCCGAATTTGACAGGTACCCGCTCCCACTTCCGCTGCAATCGCCTAGGTGATCGGAAGCGGAAGTTGTCCTCCTCCCCTTCCTCTCCGTAGTCTTCTGGAACATGTGACAGGTCCCAGAAGACTATGGGGCCATTCACAAAGCGCAGCACTTCTCGCACATGTGCAGTGGGCACCCGGGGTGAAGCCGCAAGCTGTCACAGCCGGGTGCCCACAATGAAGATGTCGGCTCCAGGTAGAGAAGACAGCGGTGAAACCAGCCGTGGTGAGGACACCGCTGGACGGAGGGACAGGTAAGTGGCTGTATTTTAAAAGTCAGCAGCTTTTATATATTTTTTTTTTTTCAGGTGGAACTCCGCTTTAAGCTTGATTTCATGGAGGGCTGTAGGACTTGTTATAGAGGAACTTCACTCAAAAGGGGAAGTTCTTATTTAAGTCCTCCCCCCACCATAATTATTTATTTATTTTTTACAGGTACTTACATAGCGCCGTCAATTTACACAGCGCTTTACATATATATTGTACATTCACATCAGTCCCGAACCCTCAAGGGGCGTACAATCTAAGGTCCCTAACTCACATTCCTATATACACATACTAGGGCCAATTTAGACAGGATCCAATTAACCTACCAGCATGTCTTTGGAGTTATTTGGCTTATCATTTTTTTGAGAGGGACCTAGTTTTGACAGATACCCACTCCCTCTTTCGCTCAGATTGCCAAGGTGATTTGAGCGGAAGTTCTCCTCCCCCCTCCCTCCTAGCAGTATTCTGGGACATGTCACAGGTCCCAGAAAACTGCGGGACCATTCGCAAAGTGCAGCGCAGCTCGCTTATGTGCAGTGTACAGCTGGCTATGAAGTCAAAAGCAACATACAGTATCTGCTTGCTCAAAGTTAGGATGCTGACGCTGGGAACCAAAAGGCTAGTGAAGAATTAGCCTGAGTGAGGATAGCACTGGATCCCTGGATAGGTAAATGTTCTTTTATTAAAAGTCAGCAGCTATAGGATTTGTATTTTTTTTTCCAGAGTAAAGAACCGCTTTAAACACACTTAAAGGTGCACATATCCTTTAAGGCCTTCTTTACATAGGTGATAGGAAATTATTTAGTTGTACATTCAGTCATTGAGCCTTGTGAGGGGTGTGCTTGTTTGCATTTGATGAAAACTTTGCCAATTCAAATGTGAAGAACATTGTTCTGTTGAATTGTGTTCAACATTGGCTACAAAAGGTGACAGAAGACCAGCACAATCCCACAAAAACAGCTGAATATTTGTTAGCATAACAGAATACGACCCTTTAACAAGACAATAAAATAATAGGCCTGGAAAGGTTGCCTACACTATCATGTCAGGTTTTATCTTTTAATTGAAACACAGATGTGTGTTATAGGCAGCTAATCTACTTTTGCTTTTTTTTTTTTTCTCCAATCATTGTAGAGCAGCACCTAGAATAAGACATTATGCCATGGCTGTGAACCCTTCTTTTCATTCTGACAGCACTGACATTATAACGATGCTGTTAATGATAATTTAATTTATTGAAGTCAGCAGAGCTGCAGTACAAATGATGGCAAGTTGTCAGTGGTCCATTAGTATTTTTACTTGAAATGAGGGTGATCAGAAAAGATCACAGTGTGGTCAGCCTGCTTTAGGCCAAGAACAGTAAGGCTGCCCAGCTAACAGGGACCTATTGAAATTCTTCTTCATCTGTTTTCAGTGCAGAGGTTGGGAGCAGTACAAGGCACCCAGGGGAAGATTAAACTGGGGGAAATTTACCCTCCGCTTTGAGTCAGTATAAATAATTTATGTAAAGCTGGTGACCCTGATACTCCCTCTCCCAGACCTCCTTTAAAGTGGTACCCTCAGCCAGTCAAAGCTGTTGGCTTTATAAAGCTACCTTCTCCCTGTTCTAAACCTGTGGTCATGGCGCCTGGTAGAGGGAAGTCTTTAAAGATGTAAAGAAAGAGACCAGAGAGCCACAAGTGAAGGCAATGCTTGAAGAATGCCAAACTGGGGGAAATGTGTTGTGCCAGTTGTTTTAAATAAATCTGAATAGTAAAGCTGATCCCTTGTCTCCACTTTATACATCCCCTCTCTCCACCCCCTCTAATTAATCTCTGCCATAAAAATAAAATAAACATACCTAAATGCCCCTTTTACCCACTTAAGTACATGGACATATGTTGTTTTGGTCTCATATTGTCCCACTTCTTCTGTACACAGGAGGTGGAGTCCTTTTTTTGGATATCTACATCACTGTTTGTGTAATGTGGGCACTTTCCATTGGCTGTCAAGCACTGGGGTCCTCTCAACATTCAGAAACCCTAAAGTGGTTCTAAAGGCAGAATGTTTTTTTTCAACTTAATGCAAGTAAAGAACCTTCTGTGTGCTGCCCCCCCCCCAAGCCCACCTTATACTTACCTGAGCCCGATCTCAATCCAGCGCTCTGCGCAAGAGCATTATTACTGCTCTCTATCTCTGTACTCACTTGCTCAGACATAGCAGTGGGAGCCATTGACTCCTGCATCTGTCAATCACAGCTAGTGAAAAGGGAAACAGTGGCAGGGCTGAGCCACAGTGCGTTGCTCTGGAGTGAGCCTGCATGAGTGCCCCCATATCAAGCCGCTATGGGGGCACTCAAGGAGAGCCAGCACGAGATCTGAGAAGAGGAGGATTGGGGCTGCTCTGTGGAAAACTATTGCTTTACCTGTACAGTCACTTTAATGATAGATTATTATTTAGTGGAGTAAATTTTCTTTTTACAGATCAGCAGTAATTGTGTTCTGCTAGTAAATAACTTTTTACAATTGTTTTCAATTTAATCTGTATAATTCCTCATTTGTTAGCATGTATATGTGAAAAAGTGCGTAACAGTAAACCATGTTCCCTAAGACAACAGTCGCCTTTCAACACGATCACCAATCATTGCTACACACTTTGTGCACTGTTCTTTTAACCCACGAGAATCTGTCCCTATCATAAAAGGGGTAGTTATTAATGTTTTTTACACAATGTGAGAAATCTGTGACATAGGTATATGCTCTTTATACTTTGCTCTTTTTTGATGGCAAAAACTTGATAAAGCTCAGGTCACAGAGTATTATGCATGTATTTAGGAATGTAGGGTGTTTTTCATATAAAGAAATTTAAATAAAAGAATACTAGTCACATTTACAATCCATGTAAATTTTACAGTACATTCATCCTATTAATAAATAACTTTATCCCATTAATAAATAAGATTGTTTGCACTGGAAAAAAAGTATGATTCCTAACTCACCAGTAGGCCCTCTACTGGGCACCACCATCTTTAATAGGTAGCCAATGCTTTACTTTATTTGTAGGAGTTTTAGCCAGCGTGCAAAGAGTAGCTACATGATGAGAGCTAGTGACAGTATTTTCAGACTGTTCCCAGCACTCCAGGTATAATGATTACAGGCAGTAGACAAATTATTAGTAAGGAGGAGGAAGGCTTCTCACACTTAGATCCTTTTCTGGCTTAATTCAGACTGGGAACTCCTACTGTGTCACTGTCAAGAGGATCACCAAGAAATAGACTAGAACTCCACCTTTCAATTTTAAAGTAGAATAATTTTACATAATTTCTAGACTTTGGGTTACACTTGTTTCAAAATGAATGAATATACCTACTGTAGATATATAGACTATAGACTAGAGATACCAATATGTCCCTTCTACAGTATAGTATATAACTATAACAGAAACCATGAGGTTTTGCCTGGCGCCTCTGTGTGTTTAGCTCTTTGGATTCAAGCTTTAACATTATTGAATTGCAGCACGGTGAGAGCAATCCTGACATTCTGCTGTTCTTAAATGTCAGCAGAGCAAACTGTTGTAAAGATGAACAATCCTACAGATTTGGTTCTTTTTCTTTTTGTGTGAACATACCCACCGTAACCTAGTCTTTGAAGTTCCTTTAATTATTGCTCTAACATGGTCCAGTATTTTTTCCATATCTAAATTGCACCACTCCTACATGTAACAGTTGAGAGAATAATTTTCTAATGCTCATAAAAGTCCATTATTCTGAATTGCTTTGAATTTTTGCAGTATTCAGCTTTTCAGATTAAAGCTGTTCTGACATACACTAATTCTAAGATAAGCGTACTGAAATGTTAATCTTTTCTATAATTATCCTTTTCTTATGCTCTCCACGGTAGTTAATGCTACAAATCCCAGCATATTTATAGGGTGCATTAGAGCTGCATATATTTTACATTTGGTACATTTGATTTCTTTATTATACAGATTCCTATCACATTTAAACATATTGTTTATACCTGATAAGACCAGCATCTCCAAATATCATTGGTACAGTGTTCAAAATCCATTCCAAGATCACATTTATTTTCATATAAAAAGCAGGCACCTGTTGATTGTATACCAACTGACATTTTACTTCAGTAAGTCTGAGAGCAAGCAAGTCAGCAGAATTTAAAGTTGTCAGGTTATTTAAATTCATCCAGCAATAAGGCCCCTTTCACATGGGGCAGATTCTGTTCCGATCAGCAGGGGATCTACTCACCGATCCCCTGCTGAGTGGAGCATAGCAGGCAGATGACACATTTGTGGCCACTCAGGTTCTGCAGAGTAGACATGGACAGAACTCACTCTGCTGTATAGTTGTCTGGGAATAAATGGACTCCGCTGTGTGTTTACAACTGACTACTCTCCAATCCGGTTCAGCTAAATGGAAGAGGAGAGATCCCCTCTGCACCTCTAAATCTCATCTCAAAGTGCTTAAAGTGGTTGTAAGCCTATACAGACACCCAGTAAAGTGATTAGCCTTAGGCGATACATAGAGATGTGTATCCTCCCACATAAGTTGTACCTGCATATCTGCAGTCTTCTCTTTTCTACATCTGTTTAAAGTGCTAAAGGTATAAAGCTTGTCTGAGACTTCAGAAAACAGGGTATGGAGAGCTGAACTTACCCACTGCAGAGCTCAGAGAGGAGAGCACTGAGAGCTGATTGGAAGGAAGGGACGCATCCTCCTTCACTTAGCACAGAGGAACAGAGGTGAGGTCAATCTTCTGGAGGTCCCTCTCCTGTCACTTATTTTCTCTTGGTATCAGGAAAATTTGTCAGAAGTGATTTATGCTGATAGCAGAGGAACAAAGCAGCAGACAGAAATGAAACTTGGTGCTCCTAGTGAAAGCAAGTACACACTATAGAGGGATATGCTTTGTTCTTATTTCATGTCTGGGATTTACAACCATTTTAACACCTTCCCGCCCAGCCTACAGCAGATTGATGGCCGGGAGAGACACTCCTTCTTGTGAATGGGCATCATATGATGTCCTGTCAAAAAGAGCTGCTCACGCGGGCCGCAGGGCCATGCAGCAGTGTAATCTGTCAACGCCTGTGTCCATCGGACACAACCTATGACATATCAATACACCGGACTGTTGCCAGTGTCATGTGATCACAATCACAGCAGATCACATGTCAATTGTATACAATGGAATGCTTCCTGTCATGCCATTCATTGTGTTGTACAGTTGTGTTGTTAGCTGTGATTAATTAAAGCAGTCACACGGTACAGACAGGGCCAATCACAGCCCATCTGTATCATGTGATGAGCTTTACCCAATCACAACTAATCACAACAAAAGACTGAATGAATCAGTTTCATTCAGTAACAATGATTGCAAATATCAATGAAACATTGGAATTAGCAATCATAATGTGTAAAAAAAAAAAAAAAAATCCTGATCACTTGCCCAAAGTAGTTAAATGTAACTATGGTAACATTGTATTGCTTTGGCCACAGTGTGTTGAAAAAAAAATAGGAAAAAAGAAAAAAAAAAAAAAAAAAATACGAAAAATAATAGAAAAGTTTGAAAAAAAATTAAATTCTTCTTTTTTTTGTACATACTG